GCGCACAGGAGAGCTTCGATAAGGATGGGTATCTTTCGACAAAAGTCGTCGCTAGAGGAAGGGTAGCCCCAAAATCTCAAAGAGATGACAAGAGCTGCAAAAGCGAGATATCGGCTGTTCTCGCAACACCATCGAAAGGAGGAGGAGGAGGAGAGGAAAATGTGAGAATGTAGCAGCAACGTTGGACGCCGCAGACGGTGCAAGTCACTCACGCGACAAGGTACGCAGTACGGGAAACCGCGCGGACAGGAGATGCCCATCCGCGCGAAGCAAGTAGCTTGATGTCGTGTGGGATGTAGTATGCTAGATCCTGTACCGGTATCACAAGAAGAGCAGCAATTTTAGCCGCTGAAGGCGCAGAGGGATGCAAGTCCATCTCGTCCGCGTGAAGCTCACCCAACCAACGGCTGTCATCGTGTCAAGCCATTCATCGAACAGACATTGTTAGCTCGACTTGCCCTAGGGTGTGGTGTACGTATGTGGGTGCAGAATTGCTCACCGCCCGCCATGACGCCGTACAAGATCAGAGTCGTTTCGAGTTGCAGGACATTGGGATTGTCCAAGATCGGCGCGAGGTCCATGGTAGGCAGGGCCATCCTGTTGAGATTCTGCTCGCTCGAGCTGTCAGACTGCGTTGCAGAGTAGGAATGGGTGGTGTTGTAAAGATGCAGCAATGTCTCTTGAGGGTATGAAAAGAAAGCAAGGTTGTGTCCTGGCAGCTACGGTGTTCATTGGGATGGTGTAGAGGAGCGTCCAGGAGCGTCGGACGAATGGCGAGCAAAGCCAAACTACGCAATGATCTGTCAGACTTGCTCTTTCATCTTGGCCTCTCGCGTTCGCGTCGGACTGGATGCGCTGCTTGATCAGCAGTCATTCAGCGTATACTCTTGCGCAGCAGTCACCTTGACCCACACGACTGCACGCCTCACGCCTCGAGAGCAGCTCGGTCGCTTGACTGATGCCGCCTTGCTTGCCTTTTCTTCTCGGCCTCGCCTAGGCGGGCAAGATGCCGTTCCGATCGAGGCATCGAGCTGCGAGACGGCGCATCTTGGCGGAAGCATCGTTTGCCTTTGCCTAGCTGCTGCCTCTTGAGATGCAAGAGGCAACAAACGGAGAGCTGCTTATTGCGCGAGCAGAGCTGTCTACTGAGCTGCCCAGCCCGGATCTGCCGCATCTGCAGCTGGAAGGCGCCATCTTGCATGATCACGCAGCGCGCTTCCTCTAATACTTAGTGGCAAAGGCAGCACGAGCAGCACACACATCCACACACACACACACACACACATCCACACACACACACACACACACACACACACACACACACACACACA